CTGGACCCCTCGGGGGGCGGAGGCTGTGGAGCAGGAGACGCTCCGGGCGGGGGTAGAACCGAAATCCAAAGGGGAGGGGAGGCAATAGAGATGGAGCTTCTAGAAACTCCCTTTCCAGGCACCAGCTGGGCCGTTTAAGAAACCCGCACAGCGCCTGGGAAAAGATGCGTGCCACGTCTTCAGCGCGCAGAGGCCACCGAGCGCAAGGAGCCAGGCGCTGCGCAGCGCGTTCACCCGCGCTCGCTTGGCTTCCTTGACCCGCGCAGGACACCGGCCAGAGGTGGTTTCTAGGCTCATGTGGAAAAATGAAACCAGAAAATTGGGGATTCGGGTTTCTTTGCCTCCTCTCCAGCTTCATGGGGCTTTGTATCTAAGAATACGAAATTCATGGCTTGCAGCTCCACAAACATCATCTCTTGTACACCTGCTCCTCCTTCGTTCCGTATATTCTCTTGCTCATCTTCCCAGTCTCCTTTTATTAGGTGCTAATGAGACCAGACATGCAGATTCTTGGGACCCAGCGGTAGCAGTCACCAGGGAAGAGCAAAGGACTGTTCTCCTCATTTCGCTATTGCAGGAGTTCAGGGAACTGCAGAGATTCCTCCGGGGCCAGGTGAAAGGAGGAGACGGATGCAGGCTCACCGCACGTGCGTACAAAATGGACCCATATGTGGGCATCCACGCGTGTGCGTGGATCTGCATGTCGCTGCGGAACTGCATATACACGCAAAGAGCCCGTTCTGAGATGCTTGTTGGTCCCTGCTGCAAGCTCAGATCCTGACACTACTCACACCCTCGTTTCCAGTGAGCAGGGAGGAGGCTTGTATACAAGGCGAGGGGAGGATATAATATTCTCAGAACTCTGCCCTCCTCATTAAAGCATACAGTTACCTTAGCAGGCTTCAAGAATGTTCATTCATTTTAATAGGTTGTGGCTGGATGACTTTTAGAAGTGGGCCTTTATCATCAGGAAAATACTTATTAAACGTCGTTAGCCTAAAGGGAAGCAGTTTAAATCTGTGAAATCTTTGGTATTTGGGGTGGGATGGCAATAGTATTGCTTTTC